TGGCTTCTTTTCCCTGGAATTCTCACTGTCAGCTCAACAAAACATCTCTATTCCCGAGCTCCAGTGGAAACAGTGACAGTGATGGCCATCCCAGCTGGACACACTCAGGGTATCCAGGATCTGCTGCAGGTGCCTCTGGCATTCCCTGCCAGATCCTGGAGGGTGCTTGCACTCACCTGGACCTCTTGGTTGTGCTGGAAAGTGGATTAAAATGACTTTCCCTTCTCTTTTCCCATTGCTCCGCAGCACTTTGCCAGACTCTCCCCCGGATTCCGGATCGGAAGCCTACTCCCCTCAGCAGGTGAACGGTAAGTGCTTCAAAAAGGGAGAAGGGGGGGGGTAAAAAGAAACCTAATCCAAACCCCAAATCCAGCATCCACCCCCTCTTTATTCCGTGGAAGTGGTTGGCTCTGCAATCTTTATCAGCCAGGAGAAAACAGGCGGCTGCAGTACGTGGGGAGATTATCAGTTAGTAAATATCCCTCGGCTTTCGCCCATTGTTCCGCTCCCGGCTTTGGGAAAGGGGAGAGGGACCGGCACAGAAGGAGAGCTGGGAATCCACGGACGCTGAATCCGTGGTGGGAATGAGAATCCACGGACGCTGAATCCGTGGTGGGAGTTGTGGGTGCAGGGAGATCGTGGTGGGGTGGGATGTGGAGCCCGGCATCCCCCCTGTCCTGCCCTCTGCCTCGGGAACACGGAGCGGGAGCGCGTCCCTGACATGGAACCTGCCTCTGGGAAGCAGCCATGAACCCGCCATTCTGCAGTAAGTTCCTTCCCAGCCTTTCCCTCCCCTCCAGATGATCCCAAGGATTTTCTGCTCCCACTGGAATGGCATAGGGAGCTGGACACCCTCCAGGGTCGCTGCAAGGTACTCCTGCCTTCCCCCAGGAAAGCCACCGAGGGTTGTTTGGTCCCTCTGGTGACCTTCAGTGTTCTTCCATGGAAAAACTCCTTGGGAAGGAAGGAGGGAAGGTTGTGCTGGTCTCCCTTCCCCCTCGGCAGGAGCACCCTCTTCCCCAGGCTCCAGCCCAGTCCCCACCGGAGCAGTGCCTGCTCTTTTTTTTTTTTTTTTGTTTTTTTTTTTTTTTTTTTTGATGGAAGAGGTCAAGAGTTCTGTTTATCTTGCTAAAAAAAATCCCTGGAATTCCTCCTGGCCCTTCCTTAAATATAACAAAGAGGCCGGGTTGTTCACCATGGGGAGAGCAGCTTTGGAGTGCTCAGAGCTCAGTTGGGAAGGAGAGGAGGCTCAGGAGGGCACCCACAAAGCTGGGATGACATTCCTGGACATGATTTTTCCTGGATTTGGGAATGCCTTGGGCAAGCACATCGCTTGCCTATCTGTCCTTGGCTGGGCTGTCCCTGAGGCAGCTCCCAAAGGAGCTGGGATTGAGCCTGGAGGGAGGAATCAGTTCCACGTGAATGGAAGAGGCACTGAGAGGTCCCAGCGGGAAGCAGAAAACCTTGGAAAGGAGCAGGACGGGTGGAAGCAGCCCTGCCCTGGCTGCCTTCAACAGGAGGACCCAGCACAAACACACTCCAGTTTTCCAGACCTTCTGACGGGAGGAGTTTTCCCATTCCTGGTCAAGCGCTTTGGCCTCGTTACTCAGCCCCTGCCTGGGTGTTCTGAGGCCAAAGTCCATCCAGCTCAGCCTGGAAAGATCCAACAGATCCTTCCCTGCCGGCCCTCTCCATGTTCCCTGAGGCTGTGCCTGCCTTGGTTGCCAGTCCCTGGATGCGTTTTCCAGCCGGTTTTCCACACTGGAGAATGAAGAAGCTTTGTCTTGTACTTAAAACAAAGTCACTGTCTCTTCCTCCCCTGTGGTGTCCTCACATCCCAGGAGTCAGTCCCTCATTCCTGCTGGGATTGCAGTGTCCTGTGGGGACACCTGAAGGCACAGGTTGATGCAAATATCAGGGAAAGGCTGGGAAAACAGATGGGCTTTGTTTTGAAGAAAAAGGAGGCTGGAGGCTGGAGAGGGACTTTGGATGAGGGGGGATGGCTTCCCACTGCCAGAGGGACATTGGGAAGGAATTCTTCCCTATGGGAGTGCTGAGGCCCTGGGATGGATTTCCCAGAGAAGCTGTGGCTGCCCCATTCCTGGAAGTGTTCAAAGCCGGGTTGGACAGGAGCAACCTGGGATAGTGGAAGGTGTCCCTGCCCATGGAAGGGAGTGGATCTGGAATGCTGAGGTGATGAGGAGCAGGGCAGGAAGGGACATGGTTTTGCATATCCCTCCACACCCCAAGCATTTCTGTTGGTACTGGTGTAGTCAAATCCACTCTAATTATGGAATGGCTTTAGTATCCCATTCCAAATAGAGGAGGAGAAAGGTGGAATCACATTTGAATGTCCCTTTTTATTTATTTAAATTCAGGGATCAAAGTCTCCTCCTGGTTTCAGTTAAAATGTTTAAAGTGCCCCCTCAGAAATCCTCCCTGGAAGTGCTGGGGGTGTTCAGGTAATTCCATTGACTCTTCTCCCTTATTGTCCCATGGGAGGATAGAATTTTGGGATGGTTGGAAAAGGACCTTAATTCCAGCCGCTGTCATGGGCAGGGACGCTTTCCCTAGCCAGGTTGTTCCAAGCCTCATCCAGCTGAGAATCCAAGATAACTGAGTCAGTGCTGGACCTGGGATCAGGACACTCCTAACTTTTCCTCTTTCTCCCTTTCCAGATCCTCACCTCCTCCGGACCATGACTCCCGAAAATATGTGTCACATGACTCCCCCTTCCCGCCTGGAGCACCCTCCTCCTCCTCCACCACCTCCTCCTCCACCCCCTCACCTCCAGGGTCCCCCTCCACCACCCCCACCACCCCCTCACCCCCTCCAGCCCCAGCACAATTCCCACTTTCCCGGCCTGCAGCGGGAAATGTTCCTGAAAGCCGAGCCCCTGATGCCTCCGTACGGCGTTGGGCCGGGAATGGCGCCCGCCGAGCTCCACCATGCCCAGCAATCCCAGATGCTGCACCAGCTCCTCCAGCAGCACGGAGCAGAGTAAGGCTGGGAATGGTTTGGGAATGCCTGAAGTGTGGGGTTCAGTGGTGGGAACAAACCAGGGGAAATCTGTGGAAGGTTCCCTGCCCGTGGCAGGGGGCTGGAACCAGATGAGCTTTAAGGTCTCTTCCAACTCAGACCATTCCAGGATTGTGTGGAATTAAAGATGTGGCTCAGCACATGGGTGACCCAGACTCAGCAGTGTGGGACAGCGCTGTGGGAATGTTGTTTTCCGTGTGAAATCCTGCTTGTCCTTGTGGGATTGTCACCCCCTGACTCTCCATTCCCTGCGGTGTCCACAGCCTCCCGGTGCATCCTGCCAAGAAGAGGAAACACTCCGAGTCCCCCCCCAACACCCTCAATGCCCAGATGCTCAATGGGCTGATCAAGCAGGAGCCAGGAATGGGATCCGTGCCCCTCAATCCCGATCGTGTCCAGACGCCTCCCTGGCACCAGCCGGGTGCACTCTCACCAGGTACCCCCGCTATTCCTGAATTCCAACCCCATTCCCACCACACCAGGGAGGAGGGAAGATGGTTGCCAACCTGTGGGATTCACCCCTGGCCTGGATCTGGTGCTGCCCTGGAAGTTCCAGTCATTTCCTTGGGCTCCCACCCCTCTGGATACTCAGTCCAGTGAGTGAAATCAGGATTTAATCCATTTTAACATTCTCCGCAGGTCTGATTCAGGATAACGACAGCCTGAATGGTTCCTACCTGGATCCCAACTTCCAGTCCATCAAGTGGCAGCCACACCAGCAGAACAAGTGGGCAACTCTGTATGATGCCAACTACAAGGAGCTGTGAGTAATTCCTTCACTGCTGGAAAAAGTGGGATTCACATTCCTCGTGCAAGTGGCAAGCGGCTGGGGTTGGGAGCATCCCACTCAAAATATGGGATAAGGATCTCCCTGGGCTGGGCTTTGTGGTGGAGGTAATGCTCCCCACTGCCCCTTTCCTACTGGGAACATGACTCCTCCACACTTTTTATGGATAATTAAGAAATAGCAGAAAGCGTTTCAGCAGCTTTGGTGACAATTCCACAGCCACTCAAGCCTTACTCACCGTGGCAAATCCAGCCTTGTCCTGAGGAAAGTTTGGGACCAGCAGCGCCTTTTCTCCCTCCCTAGATTTACCAGAATTCTGGATTTTAAATTTAGGATTGAGAATTCCTAGTGTGGGTGGCTGGAGGTTATCCATAGCCACTTCAGAACAGCTTGAGCAGCATGGAAAGGAGCTGGAGGAGGAGGAGGAATGGGAGTGGTTGTGGGGGCAGAGGAGGAAGGAAAGAGAGGGAAGGGATTTAGGAAATCTAGGAAGTGGTGGACAGGCCAGAAAGGAAGGCTGGGATGACCAAGACAGGGAAGAGAGAAATGGGAAGGTGGAGACAGCACACTGGGAAGGAGGAGTGCTCAGGAGGAAACCACTCTGGATCCTCCCTGCATTCCTGGGAGGTGACAGAGAGCTGGCAAGCTCCTGGGATGGCTCCCAGGAACCTCCCAAGGACCCTCTGTTCCCTCTCAATTCCCTCCCTCCTCTTTCCACACTGCCAGCTGGGGTCCTGTGGGGGACACAGAGCAGGGAATGCTCCAGTGCCTGTGGATAACCCAGGACTGTGATCACACTTTGGCTGGGAGTGGGAGCCAAGGGCTCCAAGGGTGGGGGCAGAGTCCCAGCTTTCCCACACAAACCTGCTCATCCAGTCTTTATCCCATCTTTCATGGTGATGCCAGGGCAGGGAATTCTCTGTTGGAGCTGGTTGCCTCTTTTGGACTCTGTGGCTGTTTTCCCACCCCACAGCAGGAGAGGGATAATTTGGGAAGACAATTCCTTCTGTCTTACTAAGCCATTTCCATCAAAGAGTATCAGCAGCTCCAAAGCCATCCTGCACCTTTCCCTGCTCTCCACCAGTTTACTCCCTCTGGATGATGGGATGGGGAAAGATGAGCATCTCCCATGGATCCTGCCCCCAAATCCCTCTTCCATGTGCAGGAATTCCACTGCCACCTCCTGTCACCTCTGTCTGGACATGTCACCTCTTATCCTTTGGTTTTTCCAGCCTCCCTTTTCTTTCTCGCTGCTTCCTGCTCTGGGAAAATGATTTTCCATCCCAAACACATCACAGCTTGTACCTGGGCATTTCCAGGCATTTCTATCCCAGCTCCAGGGGTTTTTCATACACCCTGGTGTCCCCAGGTGCACTGGCAGAGACAAACTCCATGATATTTTCTGCTGCACGTGGAGGAGTTGCTGGAGAGCACCTACAACACCAGCCCTGCTCTTTGGATCTTGGGATCACTTCCCTAATTCCTGCTTTCAGGATTTAGGGTAAAAGCCAGAGCAAACCCACTCCTGAGGCATTGAGGTCGTCATGCTGTTGTGTAAGGAATAAATTCCATTGAGGTGACTCCATAGAGATTTGAGGAAGCCACGTGGGCATTGTTGTGGTGCTGGATTTGAGTGGAATTAAGGGTTAAAGGCTGATTAATTAATTTTTAGCTCCATATTACCTCAGGGGACTCTTCCTGCTCTTGTTCAAGCTGGATCTACATCTCTTTTGAAATGGAATATCCTTTCATTCTCTGGTGCAGTACTTTCCTGGGATAATGGGAAACACCAAAAAAAAATTCCATCTTTCCTTGCTCCTATGATGGCATTTTTTAGGTCGGTTAATTCAAATTTGGCAGGTGGGAATTGTCTCCTTCCTTTCTGCTTTTGGGTGTCCACAGCATCCACATCCAGATCCATAATTTTTCCCAGTCTGGTTTCTGCTGGAAGCTGTCCCCAGTCTCGATGTGCTGTTTGAGTTCCCTGTGATCCAGGTGCCCAAAACCTTTTCACAGCCTCAGGAATGTGAATCATCTGAATTATCTGATTTTTCCTACTCTTGATCCTAAGAAAAGAGTCCAGAAAGGAGGTGAAGGAGGGAGAGCATGGGAAGCTGTCCAGGTTCTTACCAGATTCTTGGGAGCGATTGCAGGGCAAAAAATACAATTAATGCTATTCCATGTTTTCCTCCCTTTGCACACAAAAAATGATGTTCCATAAGGGGATGGGATAGGGATTAGATTCCCATGTCTCAGCTTTTGCCAAGGAATCTGTGTTGTTGAAGGAGACAGAAATCCTTGGATTAATTTTATGGATAGCATACAGTGTTTTTGGCCTTTTGCTCTGATTTTGTGGTTTTAGACTCAGTGAACTTTTCCAGGGATGAGCTGGTTTCCAGCAGCGGAGCCAAAGAGGCCTGGAACCGGGCAATTCCCTAATTTACTCCTGGGAGAAGGAGCCATTCATCTCCCTGACAGTGGGCTCTGATAAATTCCAGCTCCCTCCTCCTTCTCCCAGCTTGAGGGAAGGCAGCTGGGAATAGTGCAGCCTTTCATGGAAACACCTCCATGCTGAGGCCAGAGCCTTGGATCTGGGAAACTGGGAAGGTGCTTTCCTCATCCAGCAAACTGGTGCTCTCTGGGGTTTTGGGGTTGCACTCCTTGTCTGGGAGAAGTGTCTGGAGAAACAGCTCCAAACTTGGCCATGCTGCACATCCTGGATCTCCCCAAGGAAATGGGGACCAGTGGGATGTGGTCCAGACCTGCTGGAAGTGTTTTGGGAGGTGTGATACAGGGTGCTGGTGATGGATCATGACTGTGTCCTGGGAAGCTGAAGGGAATACATGGTGTGGACACACAGGTGGGATTGTGTGGAGAGATGACAGTGTCCTGCTGCCCAGCTGGAGTTTGTGTCCTGGAAGCAAAAGAAATCAGGGAATGCATGGAATTAGGGAATGTTTTTGGATTAGGGATCTCCCAATAGTGTGTCTTAGGAATGGTTTAGATATGGGGAAACCTGGAAGGAAGGAATGGGGGAACATGAGCATCCCTCTGCTCTCCTGCTCTTGGCCAAATCCCAATACAATTCCCAGTGGGGAGTTTGTAACCCCTCACCCTCGCTGGGATTGGGAAAAACCTCCTCTGATCCTGCCCTTCTGTCCTGCCTTAATCCACCCCTGTCAGTGGGGATGTTCAGGATCAAATAATCCATTTGACCCCAGACCTTTTATTCCTGACACTGCTCTTTGGATCCTGCACTCTCCCTGGAAAAGCCAGCATGGAAAACAACTTCTTCCCTCTGATCAATCCCAGTGCAGAGATAGCCATAGGGAAAATGGGAAAATCAGTGATAAGGAGCCTCTGAAAGGGGATTGTGAAAGACCTGGAATTTCCAGAAGGCAGAGGAAGGAGAGCCTGCCTGTCTCCCCTCTGTCAGCACACATTTAGCAGCCATCAGTTTTCCCATTTGGGAAGTATCCATGGCGTGGAAATTCAGACAGACCCTCCCTCTCCTTGGCTTTGCCAGTTAAAAAAACACTGGGAAGAGTGGTGAACACTCGGGAGCCATAAAAACAGCCAGGATGGCTTTACTTGGATCCCCTTGGGATGAGGGATCAGCTTCTGCTGCGTGTCCCAGTCCTGAATATCCAGATGGAGAATCCAGGGCTGAGGCTGGGAGGAGGTTGAGGAATTCCTCTCGTGCCTCTGGGCTAAGGTAGTGCTCTGCTCCCACCGCCTGGTTTGTGTCTGGAGCAGGGCACAGCATTCCCAACTCCCTGGGGCGTAAGGAGTGAGTAGTTCCTCGTGGCCATCCCAGAATTACTCATGGCAACCTGGAATCACCCCCAGCTCTCATCCACATTAACTCTTCAGGTGATTACAGAGGGAGAATGGTTTTATTCCAGAAAAAAAAAAAAAAAAAAAAAAAGGAGGGATACCAGTGAAGAATCCCTATCTCCTGCTTCCCAGAGTCTCCCGAGTTCTGCCACATTCCTCACTGTCCGCCTGTTCCCCTCCCAGTCTTTCTGGAGGTGGAAGTCAGAAGTGGTTTGGTTTTGTGGGAAAAGTACTCCGTAATTTTTAAGCCTGAGATCCAAGGCTGGGCTGAGCTCCCCTTTTACTTTGTTCCTTAATTAAAAACAATGGGATTTGGGTGTTCTGTGGGATGAGAGGCAGCTCCTTCCCCCCTTCCGAGGGCCCAGCAGCCCAGGACTGGGCTTTATGGATGGTGAGCAAAACAGACTCGCTGCAAAGGCCACATATTTCCCTGATTCCCATGGAAACCAGCCCATTAAGGAGATGTAGATTAAACCTTTCCAGCTGGTGTGTGTTCATGGAGCAGCCAGGACCCCTCCTCCTCCAGACCTGTCCGCTGGGAGCTGGAAGCTTTTCCACAGCAGCCGGAGCAGGTGGTTGTGATTTCAACAGGAATTTGGGATACAGGGGTGCAGCCTGGTAAGAGGTGACACTGGGAATGCCACAAGGTGTGGGTCAGTCTGAGCTGCTTCTCCCAGTGAGCCACGTTAAAGGGATGCTCCAGGCTTGGGATCTCCATACTCATTCCCAGCTGAATGGGAAGAGCCGTAGAATGATGTGGGTCAGAAGGGACCTTATGGATCATCCAGTGATGATCCAGCAGCAGGGACACCTTCCACTAGCCCAGATTGCTCCAAGCCCCTCCAGCCTGGCACAAAACACTTCCAGGGATGGGATCTCCACAGTTTCTGTGGGGAATTCCTGGTCTCACCTGCTCCCTCTTCCCAGCCCGATGCTCACGTACCGCGTGGATGCCGACAAGGGCTTCAACTTCTCCGTGGGAGACGACGCCTTCGTGTGCCAGAAGAAGAACCACTTCCAGGTCACTGTGTACATTGGAATGCTCGGTGATCCCAAGTACGTGAAGACCCCCGAGGGCCTGAAACCCTTGGAATGCTTCTACCTGAAGCTGCATGGAGTGAAGGTAATGGAGCTGAGGGACCGTGGTGAATCCAGCTGGGAAAAGAGGGTGGCTGGGAACAGGTAACACCAGCTCTTCGTGTAGTAGAGGAATGTGTGGAATCACACAATCGTGGAATTGGTTAGGTTGGAAAAGCCCTCTAGGATCATGGAGTCCAGCTCTTCCCCCACCACTAATCCATGTCCCCAAGAGCCACATCCACACAGCTTTTAAATCCTCTAGGAATGATGGCTCTGCATTCAACAATAACTCAACACTGCCCTGGGCAGCCTGTTTCAATGTCTCACCACCAATCTAAACATCCCCTGAGGCCACAGAAATACAAGTCCTAGGATGGGCTCAGTCTGGCTGTCTTCAGGGTTGCTTCCCACTCACCTTTGACTCTGGAGGGATAAAAGCACTTAGGGAAGATCCTTCTACCCTCAACTTTCTTAACACTTGGACAATGCCCACACTCAGGCTGGGTGTTCAGAGTTGGATCTACCCAGGCATGGAAGTGTGGGCAGAGAGCTGGGAAGGAGGAGGTGGGATGGGGAAGGTCTCAGTGCTCTTTGCCACATTCCCAAATCCTTCTGTCCAGCTCGAGGCCCTGAACCAGTCCATCAACATCGAGCAGTCGCAGTCGGACCGCAGCAAACGGCCCTTCAACCCCGTCACGTGAGTATGTCCATGGGATCCTGTGTGTCCAGGGAATAAGCAACAGCAGGAGAACGTGGGGAGATGGTGCAGTTGGAGGTCTCCCACTCCACTGTGTGGGTGTCACACTCTCCAGTTTTCTCCTCTTTTCCTCTCCCTACATTCCCAGCCCTGCTCTGTGCCCGGTTCATGCCATGGTGGAGCAGGCCAGGAGATGGTCATTCCCAAAAAAGCCCTCCTCTCCAGGTTGTGGCTCCAGCCTCTCCATACCTGGTTCCTCAGGGCATGAAGAATGTATTGCAGGTCCCAAGATTGGACCAGTGTCCAGCTGGGAATGAGGGAAGACTGTTGTTGGATTCAAGGCCTCCAGATGCAGGAAAACTGTGTACTTCCCACCTAAGGAAGGAAGAGATAGGAGAAAAGTGTAAAAGATAGGCACCATTCCCAGATAGGCACCTGCTTCACTCATTCCTTTGTTTTCCTTTCCTTCCAGGGTGAACCTGCCCCCGGAGCAGGTCACCAAGGTCACCGTGGGGCGGCTGCACTTCAGCGAGACCACGGCCAACAACATGAGGAAAAAAGGCAAACCCAACCCAGACCAGAGGTGAGGGAGGACACAGGGGCCTCCTCCAGAACATCCTGTGGATCTGCCTGTCCCTGGGTTGGGCAGAGTGGCTGGAGTGGGATGTGGGAATAGGGCCTGAGTTGCAGACACCAAAAGAGTGTCCCTGCTCTGGGAGGGGTTGGGGACACCCAGCACAAGGAGAGGGAGCCCACCGTGGTGCCCAGTGCTCCAGAGGGGATGGAGATGGCTCTTCCCAGCACAGGATGTGTCCCTGAGCTGTGTCCCTCTGCAGGTACTTCATGCTGGTGGTGGCCCTGCAGGCACATGCCCAGAACCAGAACTACACGCTGGCAGCCCACATCTCCGAGCGGATCATCGTCCGGGTAAATCCCTGTCCTCTCCCTCTGCCCCCTTTGCTGCACCATCCTGGGCTGTTTCCCACATTCCACATTCAGAAAAGGTGTGGATGTGGCACCTGAGCTCGTGGTTTAGTGGTGAATGTGGTGGTGGTGGTGCTGGGTTGGCTTTGATGTTCTTAGAGGTCTTTTCCAAACTTGATTTCCCACCTTTCCCACCTCCTCCCGGCTTTCCCTGCCTTGCCTGTAGCTTTCCCTGTCCACAGTTGGGTTCTGGCTTCAGATTTTCCATACCTGGTTCAAGAACCTGTAAGGATAAGGAAGGAATCCCATTCTCCAAATGGGATCAGTGTCCAGTAGATTTGTTGGGAATGAGGGAAGAGTGTTGTTGGAACTCTGCAGCAGGAACAAGAAGATTCAGGAAAACTGGGCACTTTCCCAGAATATCAGCTTTTCATGTCCTAAGGCAGAGGAGTGGGAAAAGAAAGGCACCATTCCCAGGGTTTTGCTGGAGCACTCAGCTCCAAAACATGAAAGCAAGTAGTAAAACCCAAACAGAGACCTCAGACAAGAAGTCCACGATGGATTAGGCAGCTTCCAGGATGCCCAGTACAGAATTTTAGGGAATTTCAGGCAGCCTGGAATGCTCTGAATGTGGAACCCAAGAGCATCATTCATGTCACTTGGTTTCCTGCTGTCCTGAGTGGGTGGAACACTGATAGCTGGGATGGAGAGGAGAGGAGAGGAGAGGAGAGGAGAGGAGAGGAGAGGAGAGGAGAGGAGGCCAACCTTCCCCATCTCTGCCTCCCCCCTCCTCCCTGCCTTTCACTGAGTCCCTGTTTTCCCATTTCTCTGCAGGCTTCCAACCCAGGGCAGTTTGAGAGTGACAGTGACGTGCTCTGGCAGCGGGCACAGCTCCCAGACACCGTGTTCCACCATGGCCGTGTGGGAATCAACACGGACCGCCCGGATGAGGCCCTGGTGGTCCATGGCAATGTGAAGGTCATGGGGTCCCTGATGCACCCTTCAGATGTCCGAGTGAAGGAGGACATCCAGGAGGTGAGAACCTGGAAAACGAGGTGGGCTTGGGGTCACCAAGAGTCGAAGAACTCCAGTGTTTTTTGAGAGTCCCTTCCAACTGGGGATATTCCATGATCCTATGGCTGTAGAGCAGATGGGAAGTGGTTTAGGATTCTTTCTGTCCCAAGCACAGCCAGTCTACCATGTCATGTCTATTGACTCTTCCAGTGCTAGCCAGAAGTAGCAAACAGTGGGAAACAAGTGGAAAAAGCTCAATATGGCAGGTACCACACTGGGCCTTGCCAGAGCCTGGGTGAGAGGCTTGGCTCTACTCTGAATTCCTCTCAGCTGGATTTGTCTGTCCAGAAAAGCTGGATATAATCATGTCACCTGTTTTTGGGAACTGTCTCTTCCCTGTGGTTCTGCAAGGACACTCAGTCTCCTGATTTCCCTGTCCAAGGATCTTGTCCTGACCTGGACATTAACCCCAGAGTTTGTCCTTATGGCTGCTCGGAGCAGGGTTCAGGGCTATCTCCCAAAGGAATTCCCATGGGCCATAGGGAGTGGTCCTGTTTAGAGGCAGAGTGGTGAGGATTTCAGAAGCAATACCCCTTTGGGAATTCCATGAGCCTGTTTTATCCCAGGTGGACACCACGGAGCAGCTAAAGCGGATCTCCAGGATGAGGCTGGTGCACTACAACTACAAACCCGAGTTTGCAGCCACAGTGGGCATTGACAGCACCTCTGAGACAGGTACATCCCATGGGAACACACCTGTGAGTCAGGAATGTCCCTCAGGAAGTCCCTGCCTTTCCCAGGGGCTGTACCCAGCTCTGCACCAGGGCAGCCCCCCAGGTTTGGGGTGGGCAAGAGAGGCCTTCTCACCTCCCAAATTAAGGACTCTAATGAAATTCCCTTTTTTAGCGAGTGGGAGAGAAGGTGGCACTTCCCACAGGCAGAAGGTTTCTCCAGGTACATTATGGTGGGGTGATGATCCCTATCCATAGAATTTGGGGAGCAGCCTTGTCTGACCATCCTCTGTCCTTCAGGGTCCCCAAGGAGCTCTGCACTGCTTGGAATTAGGAGGGGACAGCCCTGGTGTCACTCCCAGAGTGTCCAGAGGGTGCAGGATCATCCCATCCCACTGTTCCATCTCCACACAGGTGTCATCGCTCAGGAAGTGAAGGAGATCCTCCCAGAAGCTGTCAAAGACACTGGGGATCTGGTCTTTTCCAATGGGAAAACCCTGGAGAACTTCCTGGTGGTGAACAAGGTTGGTGGCAGCCAGGAGGCTGGGAAACCTGGCTTGAGGGAATTGTGGAGCTGGATATGGAAGATGGAAAGTGTGATGCCTGGGAAAGGCCCTCAGATGAGTTTCAGACCTGCCTGGTCCTCAGAAGTCAGGAGCAGCCCTGGGTGGATATTGGACACCAGCAGGGAGGAACCAGCCTGGTGCTGGTGAAATTTGGCAGCATCTCCCTTGGGAAGGGCTCCTTGTTGGCAGCTTCCTGCAGGGAGGCTCCCAGTCCTAATCTCCCCTTCCTAGATAAGATAAGGTGCTTATGTCAGGATAACCTGGAGCACCTGGTTTCCTGACCTTTCCCAAAGTGTGGCAGCATGGTTGCTGCTCTGGGAATCGAGGGGACAGTCTCCCAGGGCACACATGGAGGGCATGGATCATCCAGATCCAGGTGTGCCTCAACCTGCTGGCCTGATTCCCTGGCAGGAGAGGATTTTCATGGAGAACGTGGGAGCCGTGAAGGAGCTGTGCAAGCTGACGGATAACCTGGAGACACGGATTGATGAGCTGGAAAGGTGGAGCCACAAGCTGGCCAAGCTGAAGAGACTGGACAGCATGAAGTCAACTGTGAGCTCTGGAGCCTTCAGGTACCCATAGAGCCACAGGGAATGTCCCCTTTCTTCCCAGGAAGCTCCAAGGGGCAGCTCGGATTGGGAACAGGGAGATGAGGAAGGAGTGGGATGTTGGCTGGTGTCTCTTGGCCTGGAGTGGATTTAAAGAGCTGAGCTTGGGGAGGTTTAGAATTCCCACAGGACCAGCCCAACAACACCCAGGATGAAATGGTCTCCATGTTTCCCTAAAGTCAGTGGCTTTCTCATGGCAAAGAGTTTCCCATACTTCCAAAATTTCCATCCTGACCCTGCTTATGCTGGTTTTGTGGCAAAGCACCAAAAAGGTTTGTGGCTGTCACACCACAAAGAGGTCTTTTGCCTCCCAGAAAATCCCATTTTTGCCTGGGAATGGCTTGGAGAGCTATCCCTGCCCAGCTCAGCCCCATTCCTCCTTTTTCCTTGCAGCCAAACTGGGAGCCAGTTCAGCCGGGCAGGAAGCGTGCCCCACAAAAAGAGACCCCACAAAGTCGCCAGCAAGGTAAGGGATGGATCCCAAAGGAGCAGTGCCAGGAGCAGAGAAGGTTCAGCCTGGAGAAAAGGAGGAACAGGGGGAACCTCACTGTCCACAAATCCCTGGAAGGAGGTTGGAGCTAAGAGATCAGGCTCTCCTCCCTGCCTTATCCAAGAGGAAACGGCCTCAGATTGTTCCAGGGGAGGGCCAGGCTGAATATTAGGGAGAATTTCTTCATGGAAAGGGCTGTCAGGCACTGGAGTGGGCTCCAGTGGTGGAGTCCCCATTGCTGGTGGGTTTTAAAAACCGTGTGGATGTGGCACTTGGGGACATGGATTAGTGGTGGCCTTGGCAGTGCTGGGGGAAGGGTTGGACTCCATGATCCTAGAGGGCTTTTCCAGCCTCAGTTTTCCCATGATCTTCCATTCCATCTCCTAATGGAGACATTAAATGACTTCTAAACTTGGCGAGTTCAGGATTTTTAGGGGGGCAGGAAGAGAGGTCAGGATGGCTGGGGGTGATCCATGCAAGGACCAGAGCAGTGAGGGAGCTGAGCTGATCCAGGGGGTCCTGAGCTGATCCAGGATTTTTTCCCTCGCAGTCTCCGTCGGTTGTCCCGGAGCAGGCCTGTATCAGCCAGCGCTTCCTTCAGGGCACCATCATTGCCCTGGTCATCATCATGGCATTCAGGTGAGACCCCACTCCTGGGCTGCTGCATCACCTCCCTCCAGCTCATCTATCCACGGGGTGTGCAGCGAGGGGCTGTGGATTCTTCCAGAGAATCCTGAAATGCTTTGGATTGGAAGAGACCTTAAAGTTTATCTGGTTCCAACCCCTTGCCATGAGCTGGGAACTTCCACTATCCCACTGGCCTCAAACACTTCCAGGGATGGGGCATCCATTTCTCCTGGGCTGGAATCCTGTGGAAGCAGACTGATCCCTGCTCCTCCTCATCCTGCCCTTCTCTCTTTTCCAGCGTGGTGTCCATGTCCACGCTCTACGTGCTGAGCCTGCGCAGCGAGGAGGATCTCGTGGACATCGATGGGTGGGTATTTTGGGAATGGCTGGGAGGGATCAGGTCACCTGGGAGAGGCTGGAGCACAGAAACTGGGATTGATGAGCACAATTCCAGAGCTGCAAACCCTGCCAAGCACAGCCACACATCCCGGTCTGATGGCAGTTGAATTATCTGGAGCAAGAAGTGAGGAGTAGAGAAGGAAAAGGGAATGTCCTGTAAGGATGTGCTGAATGTTCCTTGGATGCCTCCAGCTGGACTAAAACAGCCTCATCCCACTGGTGCAGCAGGGCTGGATCAGCTTTGGGAGCTCGTGTAACCTGATAATGAGTCTCTTTTTCTCCCTCTCTCTTCCCTCTCCCATTTTCCTCTCCTCCTTGCATTTCTCATCCAACCCATTTTCTTTCCACTTTGTCTTCAATTTCCCCATTTTCGTCTTTTCCTTCCCCTTATCTTCCATATCCTCTTTCATTCCCTGTCTTCCTGGTCATCTTCCCACTTTCCTGTTCTCCCTGCACTGTCCTGTAGCTACTTTGCTGTACCCACTGCCTGTCTCCTGGCCCTCTTTCGGCACGGGGGTCCCGGAATTCCGGTCGCTCTGTGTCCACGGTATGTGCCTGTTTCATTATTTCATTATTGAATTCCTCTTTTTTTTCCTGCACCATGAAAGACCAAGAAACTAAAAACAGAGAAAAGGATGCGAGACTTCCAGTGGGATTCCAGGAGGAAGGGTTATGGATCTTGTCAGGGAAGGGAAATTAGGAGTAGGAGATGGAAAAATCAGTTGATCAAAGGATAAATGAAGAAATTGCATCCTGCAGGGAGAGCGGGAACAAGATAAAGCTGTGTAAGGAAAAGGGATGAGGCAGTGGAGGAACATGAGGGATAGGGGTTGGATTTAGACTGGGATGAAAGTGAAGCTTCAGAGGCTTGTGCCCACATTCCCTTTGGGAGACTGGCATTGAGTCTCCTTCACCTGGAAAAGAAATCCCTGTAATTAGACAAATATTGGAGATGACAAAGTGTTTTTTTAAATTCCTCTAAATGAGTAAAGCTCCGTTAATCCCACAGAAACCTGGAGCAATGGTCAGGGACAGGTAAGACATGGACACAGGTGTCCAGGAGTGCTCCTTGTTCTGCAGACCTGGGAGAAAGATTCCCTCCATTTCCCATCTCCCTTATCCTCAGATGGTGCCTGTGGTGTCCTCAGCTCAGGTCTTGGATAGCTGCAGTGAAACACCTGGAATTCCATGGGATGAATTTGGGGGAGGGGGGAGATTGTGTGTTTTTCTAAGGAACAAGGTGAGGAACAGTCTGTCTTCAGGGGATAAGGGGCATTCCTTAGGGAATGGTGAGAGCTTGCAGCCTTTTGATTCCCAAGCACCTGAATTCACCCAGGATATTCCTGATGGGAGCCACATCTGCCATGTACACCCTGTTCCAGCATATTCCAGGAGGGTTGCTGGTGTCCTCTGAACCAGCTGGGCTTTTCCCTGCCAGACATGGAACTGCCACACGATTCCCTGTGGAATTTCTGAGCTCTCCTTGCTGTCTTTATCACTCTTGTGCTCTTCTCCTGCCTTTCCCCGATCACTCTGTTCTCCTCCACATGTCTACTTACTCTATGTTCCTCTTCCCATCCTCCTGCTGCAGCCACTTTTCTCCCCTCCTACAAGTGACCCTATTATCCACATCCAGGAGGTTTCCAGCATCTTTTCCTGCATTCCAGGTCAAGCCAGAACATTGACAAGACACAGACAGTGCGATCCACAGCTGCATCCAAGGGAGCCAGCAGCAGGAGCCCTCCAGAGCACGGTGGGTGATGGATTGGGATGGCTCTGGTTTCATGGAAGGGCTGCAGGACACCGGGTTCCATCCCTTGACTTATTCCCTGTGTCCCTGCAGTCCTGGATGAGGGGCATGGAGTAGCCCTTGGCATTCCTGGTGGTGGTGTGCTGGCCTGTTTCAGCCCTCCCTGTTTTTCCACGTGCTGCTCTGCTGCTCCCACTGACATCTCATCCGTTGTCCCCTCGGAGACCAGCCCTGCCCATGTCACCAACCGGACAGGTGAGGGCCAGCCCAGGTTCCCACAAATGCTGGGACATCTCCAAGGTTTGTGTCACCTCGTGTCCCTTGCCCTGCTCCTTGTGAGAAGGTCTCCTCCAGGATGAACAATTCCAGCTCCCTCTCCCCTCCAGATGTTTCATCCTTCTCACTCCACTCCTTTGGAAGCTCTCTAATAGCCTATACCCCTTCTATCCTTATCCTTGGATATATCCTTTATAGCCTTCTCTGCCCACATGGTGCAGTTTGGATCCTGTTGCCAGGGGAATGTGGGGGCTGGAAAAGATTTGGAGCTTCCCACGTTGCCAGCAAAAAGTCATGGGAAGCTTCACCAGGCACAGCTCACCTGAGCAGCCCTACCTGGAGGTCTGACCTCATTCCCTCCTCATTCCATCACCAGCTCCATCAGGCACAGAGGGAATGGAAGCACAGAATCCTGGAATGCTTCGGGTCAGAAGGGACCTTAAAGCCCATCCAGTTCCACCCCTGCCATGGGCAGGGAACCTTCCATTGTCCCAGGTTGCTCCAAGCCCTGTCCAACCTGGCCTGGAACACTTCCAGGGATGGGGCAGCCGCAGCTTCTGTGGGCAACTTGGGAAGCATCAGGAGGTGACATGGGGACAGGGTGATCCCAGTGCTCCCAGCCTCTCTCTGCCTCTCAGCACAACTTTCTCTCCCGTTTTTCCGCAGACCAAAGCCAGCCCTCCCTCCTGCCGGTGACAAATATCAAAGCCAAATCCAGGGGCATCACCGGGAAATCCACCTCCTACACCAAGTGGCCAAAGACTCCTGACAGGTCTCAGAGCTTCGGCAGCCCCAATGCCAGCCCCTCCTCCCCCTTCTCCCACATCCAGGGCAAATCCAAGTACATCTCCAACCTCTCGCTCTCCCGCAGCAGCTCCCGGCAGCAGCGCAGCCTCCGGCAGCCGGTGAGCGAGCGGCCGCGCACGGAGCAGCCCGGCACGGATGGTACGTGCATCCCATCTTCTTTCCATTCCAGCCTCTGCTTTTGGGATTTTCCAGCCTTTGCTGTTCCTACACATCCTGTTCTCTCCCCAGCAGGGCCGAGCCCGGTGCTGCAATCCGTCCGGATCCTGGAGATCAACCTGGCCATCCATTCCCAGTACTGCGCTGCTGCTGATGCCTGCAGGTGAGCGGGAAGGGCTGGCTGGTGGCACCTTGGTGGCACTTCAGTGGCAGCAGCACTGTGGGAGCAGCAAATAGGAAAATCTGGGAGTTTTTCTAAGATTTTCTTGGGTGTTTCCTGCCATCACTTCATGCTGCTCCATGGGAAGAGGAGCTGGTGCTCCCAGCTTTCCCTCAGGGGTTGTGTTTGGTGGTAGGCTCGTCCTTGGGACATTGGGAAGTTCTCCTCTTTGAGTTCTCAGCCTGCCAGGGATTTTGGCTCCTGTCCTGGCCTTCCCACAGCCTGGTGAGATCTAATGCTCTCTCTGTGTTCCCAGGACTGGGAATTTCAGCTACCGCATCCCTGTGAACCAGCGGACGGCCGTGAACACCAACCTGACCCTGGAGATGAAGTGAGTGCCCATGGATCACATCCTTTGGGAGCCCCGGGAGTGGCTGATGTGGCCACAGTGTCTCCATGGGAAAGGGACACGTGTTCCTCCTTCCAGGCTCTCATGGTGTCCTCTCTTCCCAGCTCCTCCTCCTCTGTGTCCATCTCCCTCTGTGGCCTTGTGTCCAGTGATCCCTGCCAGGATGCTGTGAGCGGGAACAGCTCCACTGACTCCACAGATGCACAGGTAGGGAGAAGGGGACAGCTCACAAAATACACATGGAATCATGGAGGTTGGAAAAATCCAACCATTCCCCCAGCACTCCCAAGGCCACCATGTCCCCAAGTGCTACATCCACACGGCTTTTAAATCTCTCCAGGAATGGGGACTCCACTGCTGTCCTGGGCAGCCCTTCCCATGAAGGAATTTTCCCTAATATCCAATTTAAACCTCCTCTGGCAGAGTTTGAGGCTGTTTCCTCTCATCCTGTCCTTTGTTCCCTGGGAGCAGAGCCTGATCCCACCTGGCTGCCCTCTCCTGTCAGGGAATTGTGCAGAGCCAGAAGCTCCTCCCAGAGCCTCCTTTTCTCCAGGCTGAGCCCCCCCAGCTCCCAGAGCCCTTCCTCATCCCACTTGTGTTCTGGGAAACATCCATGGGTTCACTTGACAGCACCGTGGATTTCCTCACAGATCCAGCCTGGAGAACATCCCCCAAGCTCATCCCTGATTTTATCTCCTCTCCTTTTCCCCAGGACACCACCCACCGCTGGCCTCTGGTGATGCTGTCTTTCCGGGAGTTCTCCTACCACTTCCGAGTGGCACAGCCGGTGAGTTGCTTGTCCGTGGCCCACAGAAGGAGAGAAATGTGGCATTTATGAAATGTGGGAAATGCAGCTTTAGCACCAAGAGCATCCCACAGTCCTGTGGGTGGTTAGGAGGATGATCTGTCCCTGCTCCAGCTCATAATCCAGGCTGAATTCTGCCCTCTCTAAGCTGCTTTTCCCGTTCCCAGGGCCGAGCAGACTGCAGCACTTCCCTGGAGCAGCTGGGACACCTCTTCACTGACTATTACTTCCAGTTCTACTGGCTCTGTGAGTGAGTCCCAGCAGCACCAGTGCCCTCTGCTCAGAGACAGGAGGGGAACTGGTGCCACTGGGAGCCTCCCGAATTCCCTGCTCCGCTGGCCCCCAGCCCCACCTCATCCCCGTGTCCTGCGGCAGCTCCGGAGCTGGAATGGTGATGGCTGGAGACACTGAAGCTCAGCACACACAGGACCTAAAGGCCACCACTAGACCTGTGGTGGCTCCTGGGGGGGACCTCGCACCAATTCCCAGCATCCCACATCCCTCTCCTTCCCTAATGGGGGTGTTTGTGTCCTCCGTCACTTCCCCCTCCCCTTCCAACACTGTATTTGGAAGCATGACACCAGACTGAGCATGGACAGCTCTGCCATGTCGCAGAGGGATGCTCCTTCCATGGACAGGAGCCCCATCCTGGTGCTCCCAGATGTTCCACATCAGTTCTTCACAACACTGGAATTGCTTCAACACTGGAGCCCTTTCCAAGAGCCAAATGCTGGAGTTTGGCCTGGAAAGGATGGCTGTGCCTGGACCTACTGGAAGTCATACACTGGAGTTGCTGTTCCTTCTGCTTGGCCCAGGGCCACTTCCCACAGACTTCCCAGAGACTCCCGGACCTGCCAATGGACACGTTCCTCTAGGAACAACCGGAAAAGGAGCAGCTTCGACATCATCCCCCCTCTTCTTTGTGCTCTTAAATCCCATATCCATGTGGGACATCCAGGATGGATAAAACCCCCACTCAAGCTGCTGCTGAGGCCATGCCACAGCTGGGGACACTCGTCCTCAAGGCAGGGGGTGACAAATGACCGGGACTTACCCACAGGAAGTGTGGTGGGATCCATTTATCTCCGCTTGGAAGCGGCGTGTGCGGAGCTGCCTGGTCAGCTCTGGAGCCAATGCCAACCTCTGCCCAGATGTGCAGCACTGGCAAAGCCCTGCAGAGCAAGGCTGAGTCCCTGGGAACACCAGGATCCGTGTCCAGGCAGGATCTCTGCCTCGGGAGAGGGGTGGTGTTCTCCCAAAAGCTGGGATGGCAGCAGCTGCCCTCACAGAGTTGTGCTGGGGGGATTTGGGATATTTTACTGTTACAAGAACTTAACTTGCTAAACTACTGAATTCTTATGGGGTTTAAGCCGTAAAAAAAACCCGGGAATTTCCTTCTGACCCCATTGAACCACGTGTGTCCTATGGGAAAGCCAAGTGGCTCCCTGTGCTTCCTCCTCCCCGTCTACAAAGGAGTTGTCTGCGTTCCTGGAGGCTCAGCCACCTCCAGGTTATTCCAAGATGGATTTCCCTGAGGAAACAAAGCAGGGGGGAATGCCACATGCTGATCCTAAAGACACTCTAAAGCTACTCTGGAAAAACAAAGATGGGTTTTATCCAGGTAAAGCGATGGTTCCTGGGCACATCTGCTTTTGTCATCCCCCGTCATCCTCCTCCTGAGCTTATCCCAACAAAGCAGCCCTAAAATTCCTGGTGATGTCACTTGGATTTGGCATCTGCCCCCAAAAACTGTTTGCAGGGAGGTTTCAAGGCCTGGAAACGCTGAGTTATAGTTATTAAAATCCACTGAATGCTGGGAAGCAGGGAATAGTGGGCAAGCAGGGAATTCTGAGCAGCTAAGCAGTTGGAAAACCCTTCCAAAAACTTCCCAAAAGTTTTGGGAAGCTTGGTGGGACAACAGGATGCCCCAAGGCTTGGGAATACCTCTGCACAAGCATGGGAGTCTCTGTTTTTCCCTGAAATTGGGAAGGAAACACCTGGATGTAGCTGAGTGCTCTTCCCTCCACCTGCCCTGAGTGGTTTTTCCTCGTTTTAAACTGGGAAGTGACTTCCTTGGCAGGTTTATTGTCCCCTTGGCAATCAGTGGCCCAGGCTGGCACATCCTTCCTCAGGTGAGTGATACCAAGCTGGGATAAAAGCCCCTGGAAGAGGAAACAGGGAATGTTGGGGAGACCAGAACCTGCAATCACTCCCCCGTCAGCCAAGACACCCCAGTACATCCCACCCCACTCCAGAGGGAAGGAATCAATCAGTGGTGGCCCAGGAGGAGTTGGGATCTCTCAGGTGTCCCCAGGATGCTCAGCCATGGGATTTAGGGAGATCCCCAACAAACCAAGTGCCTGAGGGCTTGGAAACATCTCTAGTGCCTTTTTCCGTATGGAACAGCCCCAGGGAACAGTGTTTTCCCACATATATTCCCAAATGCTGCCTCAGAAATGGTGCCTGGGTGGTTTAACTGGGATGTGGCAATTCCTGGAGTGCCAAAGCCAGCCCTACCCACATGGAGCTGGCAGCAATCCTTGGCATCAGGAGAGGACAGGGATTCAGGATGAAGTTTTGAGTGTCAGTAGTACCTTATGTCTTAAAGTGGCACAGGTTGCCCGGAGAAGTTTTGGATGTTCCATCCCTGAAGTGTTCCAGGACAGGTTGGATGGGTTTGGAGCTGCCTGGACTAGTGGAAGATGTCCCTGCCCATGGCAAGAGTGGGACCAAATGGGCTTTAAGGTCCCTTCTCACCCAAACCATTCCAGGATTCCATGATAAAAATCATCCATCGGCCGCTTCCCAGCGAGGCAGCACCGAGCTCCAAAGGGGTTCAGAATTATAAAATGAAGGAGTCATGGAATTGCTTCCAGACCCGTGGAAACAGCTGTCTGCATGGATTTCCCCCCCAAAACACATCTCTGCCCCTTCCCTGTCCCCAATCAGTACCAAGAGAGTTCACAATCAGGCCTTTCCCTGCGTGGGACGGAGGGAATTCCGAGGGAATTCTGAGCCGACCTCTCCAGCTTGGGGAAATCCCTCCCTTATCCAGCGGCAAAGAGACATTCCTGGCAGGAAGGAAGACAAAAGGATGCAGAACGAGGCTGTTTGGGAGTTGTTTCAAAAGCAAATTCCCAACTCTTCTGTCCTACTGTTGGAGCTTAAAGCCTGTAAATAGAGACTATGGCACCACTGGAAGAATTAAGGAAAAAAACCACCACGTAAAGCACTAATTTTGTTGGTTTAAATGTTGCTGCCACAGCTTTAATCACTGTATTTTGCCAGCCAGTTCGTAGAGTTGCATTTGTAGCAGGTTATTATTGATTTCTGGTTTTTATTTGTGGGGAACAAGCGTGGTTTCCCTCTTTTCTTCCTGATTTATATTTATATTTTGCTGAATTTGAGGGCTGAGTCGCCGGATTTTTTTGTTTGTTTGTTTTGTTTTGCTTATTTAGACTTTGTTTTATGCTGGAGGTAAATGTGCCCATATGAATAAAATATATAAATACTGCTTTGTATCCAAGGATGGCTCCTGGTGTTTTCCTCCCATCCTAGGGAGTAACTCAGGTGAATGGCTGTAAAACTGCCCATGGATGGAGGAAATTCCAAGTCTTTAGTCAGTGGAAGTTCGTGGATATGCCCAGTTATGGTTCTTTGGAATGGGGATAAAAAGGAGAAAGAAAGGAGGAAGAAGGGGAAAGAAATTAGGAAGGGAAAATGAAGGAAGGAGAAAAATGAAGAAAATAAGAGAGACAAGAAAGGTTAAATGGACAATGGGAAAAGGAAGGAGAAAGCAGAAGGACAAAGAAAAGGAGGAAGAAAAAAAAAGGAAAAAGGAAGGAAAAAGAAAGGAAAATCTGCCTCTGACCTCTCATTGCTCACATCAGAGGGCAGGCTCAAATCCAGAAAGATCCAAAAGTCCACAGAAGGAAATCTTCCCAAATAGGAAACTGGGGCTTGAATGTGTGATTTGGAAGTGGAATGGTTTGAAAGCTGGGCTAAAATTCCAGTCTGCCTCTTGAAGACACATAAATCGTTTCCTTGTTTCTAGGCCAGGCAGTTAATTCAGGAGTTAATGAAGGGCACATCCAGCACCACAAAATTCCTAGTTAGGGATAAGAACAGGTACAGCATTCCAAAAAAAACGTTGAGGGGATGCGATGGCAAAGAAGGCAGAGGGATTAAAAGCAGATTCAGGATTTATTTTGCAGAGCCACGACACAAGGTGGCACTGGAACACCGGTGAACACACACGGCACAGAAATCTGGGGTAACACCTGGCATATCCCAAAGCACCTGGATTTTGTATGAAGAAAACGAAGAATGAAGAAATGAATACTTCTTCAGTATGAAGAAAAGGAGGCTCGGGGGGAACCTTTTCACTCTCCACAACTTTGTGACAGGAGAGTGGAGCCAGGTAGGATTGGTCTCTGCTCCCAGGGAAAGGGCAGGACAAGAGGAAACAGCCTCAGGCTGCACCAGGGGAGGTTTAGGTTGGGCATTAGGAAAAATGCCTTCGTGGAAAGGGTTTTAGAGCACTGGAACAGGCTCCAGAGGTGGAGTCCCCATCCCTGGAGGGATTTAAAAGCTGTGTGGCTGTGGCACTTGGGGACACGGGTTAGTGGTGGCCTTGGCAATGCTGGAGGAGTGGATGGACTGGGTGATCCTAGAGGGCTTGTCCAGCCTTAGACTTCCCGTAGTTCTATACAAGCCTTTTGGAAAAGCCAGGTTAAAAAAAAAAAAAAGAAAAGAAGAGACAAACCAGCAGTCCCCAGGCTGGTGTGTCACACAGAGCCACTTTTATTCACCTGCGGGTCACTGCCTGTCGCAGACCATACCTATTTTCTCGTTGAAATATAAAAGAAATATAAAAAGAGCTTCCCCGAGTCCCCCATCCGAGGCGTTCAGACGTAGATCCCGACCCAGAGCAGAAGGAAGAGGACGCCGAAGCCCATGAAGAGCGAGGCCACCAGCGAGATCAGCAGCTCCTTGTAGATGTCCCGGGTGTACTTGGTCGATGTCACCTCATAGCTGCCAGGCCGGGAGTTAAGGTGATAACAGAGACACAGCAAGGCCAGGGGACCCCCACCCGCTCCCCTGAGCCCGGGAATTAGGACGATAATCCGGGATTGGGAGGTACAGCGAGGGGACGGCACCCCCCGCCCGCTCAGCCGCGGGGATACACGAAGAACCAGGCGGTGAAGAACATGCCGATGGCCAGCAGCACCACGGTGAGGTGCGGGAACACGGCCGGGTTCACCGGGCTCGTGTATCTGCTCATCGCCTCCAGCTCCTGCGGAGACACAGAGGGTGTTCAGCGGGGCTGGGCCGCCTGTGACATCCCCCGGTCCCCCCATGCCAACACTCACCATGTCGCCGGTTCCTGCTGCGACACGTCGGCTCCGCTGCCGCCGCCGCACGCCCGCCCCCTTCGGCCGCCGGAAGTGGAAGTGAGGGCGGGAACGAGGCGTGGCGAGCGCGAGCCGCTTCCCCATTGGCTGGCGGCGGCTCCCGGCGGGCTCGGCGGCGGAGCGCGGGAGCGGCGGCGCGCGAGCGGCCGGGTAATGGCGGCTGAGGGAGAACGGGGGTCTGAGGGGAAACGGAGGCTCTGACACATTAATGGCGGCTCAGGGGAGACGGGGGCTGTGAGGCGGTAATGGCGGCTGAGGGAGAACGGGGGTCTGAGGGGAAACGGAGGCTCTGAGACATTAATGGCGGCTCAGGGGAGACGGGGGCTGTGAGGCGGTAATGGCGGCTGAGGGAGAGCGGGGGTCTGAAAGGAAACGGGGGCTGTGAGGCGGTAATGGCGGTTGAGGGAGAACGGGGGTCTCAGGGGGTAATGGTGGCTTAAAGAGAACGAGGGCCCTGAGGGGGTAGTGGTGGCTGAGGGGAAACGGGGGATCTGAGGGGGAGGGAAGAGGGGTTGATGGCAGGCCTGGGGAGCTGAGAAATAAGAAGATGAGAATGGGGAGGTGATGGGGTCTGGATGGTTGTAATGGTGGAGATAATGGAATTCTGGGGAGGAGGATTGGGATGGGAGGGGCAGATGGGAAGGGGAGTAATGATGGACCGAAGGGGCGTGGTGAGGAATAAGGGTGGCCTGAGGCAGGATTAGGAATAAAGGCTGCCAGTAGAGGACACAGCCCTTGGAGTGATGGTTTGTAGAGGAAGCACTGCTCTTTTTGCTTCAGAGCCTGCTCTCAACATCCCCATTTTCCCTCCCAGGATGGGAATCCATGGCTTGGCCAAGCTTATCGCCGACGTGGCTCCCGGGGCCATCCGGGAGAACGACATCAAGTCCTACTTCGGCCGGAAAGTGGCCATCGACGCCTCCATGAGCATCTACCAGTTCCTGATCGCCGTGCGGCAGGGAGCTGACGTGCTCCAGAATGAGGACGGGGAGACCACCAGCCACCTCATGGGAATGTTCTACCGCACCATCCGCATGGTGGAGAACGGCATCAAGCCGGTGTACGTGTTCGACGGGAAGCCCCCGCAGCTGAAATCCGGGGAGCTGGCCAAGCGCACGGAGCGCCGGGCCGAGGCGGAGAAGCACCTGCAGGAAGCGCAGGAGGCCGGGGAGGAGGAGAACATCGAGAAGTACAGCAAGAGGCTGGTCAAGGTGACCCCACAGCACACGCAGGAGTGCAAGAAGCTGCTGACACTGATGGGAATTCCCTACGTGGAGGCACCCGGAGAGGCGGAGGCCAGCTGTGCCACCCTGGTGAAGGCCGGGAAGGTGTACGCCGCCGCCACGGAGGACATGGATTGCCTCACCTTCGGCAGCCCCGTGCTGATGCGGCACCTCACGGCCAGCGAGACCAAGAAGCTGCCCATCCAGGAGTTCCACCTGAACCGGATCCTGCAGGATCTGCAGCTGACCTGGGAGCAGTTTGTGGACCTGTGCATCCTGCTGGGCTGCGACTACTGCGGCAGCATCCGCGGCATCGGGCCGAAGCGCGCCGTGGAGCTCATCCGGGAGCACAAATCCATCGAGAGGATCGTGCAGCAGCTGGACACCAAGAAGTACCCCCTGCCCGAGAACTGGCTGCACAAGGAGGCCCAGAAGCTCTTCCTGGAGCCCGACGTGATCGATCCCGACGCCGTGGAGCTGAAGTGGAGCGAGCCCGACGAGGAGCAGCTGGTACAGTTCATGTGTGGGGAGAAGCAGTTCAACGAGGAGCGCATCCGCAACGGCGTCAGGAGGCTGAGCAAGAGCCGCCAGGGAAGCACCCAGGGCCGGCTCGACGACTTCTTCAAGGTCACCGGGTCCATCACCTCGGCCAAGCGCAAGGAGCCGGAGCCCAAGGGATCGGCCAAGAAGAAAGCCAAGACCAACTCCAAGCCCAACGGCAACGCGGCCACAAAGACTAAAAAGGCAAAGTAACCTGATTGGGTGCCCGCAGACCTCTGGGATTGGGGTTTTGGGGGGCTTAATGAGGAATTTTAGCCTAATGGCAGTTGTGTGTCAGTGCTGCGTGCTAGTGCTGGGAAGGAAGGGATGAGGGCAGCAGAGTGGAGCAGCTTCTGGGCACAAACACTCCCAGATTTCAGAATTCCAAAGCTGAACAGCTGCAGAGCAGACTCAGGACAAGTTAGATTTCAGCCTCATCCCATCCATCCCAGAAGAGGTAGATGCAAGCAGAAACTAGAAAGGTAGGAGTAGAAGGCAAGCTGGAATTGGGAAGGAGGCTTCAAGTAATGAGGTAAAATTCTCCCTTTAACCCAAGAGAGTTCAGGAAGGTTTTTCCTTCCCTTTTTGTGGTCACTCCTTATTCAAAACCTAGTTGTGTTCTCAATTCCAGCAATATCCTGGCCCGCTTTTAATGCATAATGCAAGGAAAGCTGAGCCCAGACTGCAGCTGTCCCGGCCTGAAATTTGCTTAGAAATGCTTGAAAAAAATATCCATAAGCCTAGAACTGCAGCCTCTTCAGTCCCTGAATTCCAGAGGCATTTTTCCGTGTTGTACACTCTTACATTCCCAGGATGGGAATGAAAACTTTTTATTTTATTCTGTATTTTCTATAGGTTTTTTGCTTGTCAGAGCCACAGGATGGGTTTTGTTTTCAGAATAAAATTTGAACACAAAGACTCTGTTTCTCTTTCTCCAGAGAAGTGGCTTAAACCGTAGTTTTAAATGAAAATCCCAGCTTTAGAGGGAATTCCATAGCACCCAACAAACCAAACGCAGTCTGGAACACAAAGAATTCCAATTTTGAGCTCTTTGGATGCTTCATAGACATCAAAAATCTATGAGTCTGCTCTTTGCCAGTTTGGAAAATAAGCTAGCTTGTTTTGTGGGGAAATTATATTTAATATTTATTATCCATTAATCTTGCTAAAATTGGGATTTATATTTCCTTGGTGTGGATTCTCTTACGTGTTTCAATCCATAATTTTTTTTCCCCCAGAAGTTCTTAAATTAAGTGTTCCTCTTTTATATCCAGATATCTTCATAGGTACAGGTATGGTTTTGTGGTGGAGGGATAAAAAATGATTTAAAAATAGTAATATCTGGAAATAAGTCTGGAAATTTACCAGTTCTAAAAGCTGCTTTTCCACCACTCTTTCCTTACCTGGTGCTTTGTGGTATTTCACTCCATTTTTCCTCCATTTCTTATTCCAAAGATTCCCACTGCTTCTGATACTGATATTATTACAGATGAATTCCAGTTCCACTCTATCCCAGAAGCAAGTGCTGTGGGAAGCTAGAAACCCAGCAGAGCCAATCAAAGAGGGCATGGGGGATTTGGGGCTTTTCCACCTCTTAGTTCTAATTAAATGAATTTTCAACTTCATCCCAGTTTTCCAGCTAGCTGGACCATGTGTTACCCACAGCATTCCCATCCTGAATCCAAACCCAGCTCCTGGGCAGAAAGGAGCCCTGTCCCAGTGAAAAGCAGAACAGTGGGAGCTCTCAGACAGTTTTTGGGGAAACCCCAAATTTATGCAGCACGAAGAACGCTTCAGAATGTGTCAGCTGCTGCCACGAGCTGCGCCCTGAGCCGTGCCAGCCACCTCCCGAGAGCTCCCTTGAAAAGGAGGTGTTGCCGTTCCCGCTGGAGCCTCCTGCCCAGCACTGCCCGCAGGGTTTTCTCCGGTGCCGCTGCTCCAGTGTCCTGGGAGCCGTGCACTGGGCACCAGCGGCTCAGGGACACTTGCTGCTGGGAGTGCCTTGCTGGAACGGCTTGGGCTCCCACTTGTATTTCCAGGCTTTTGCTGGCCGTGGGTATCTGGTGAGTTCTGTGCCTAGCCACGGCTCTGAGGCAGCAGGAAGAAATGTCCGTGTGGGCTTCTCCATCTGGAGTCCAGCAGATCTCATGGAGGCTCTGGCAGGGATGGAGGTCTTGGCTAGAAATATCCCCGGTGTGGAAATCTTCCTTGTCCTTGTCCTTCCCAGCCAGCTCCGGGGAGCATCCTGAACATGGGATCAGCCGCCTTTGCCGCCGGAGTCTCTTGTCCAGCAGCGTGCGGAGAGTCTGTCCTGATGGTTCTGCCACGGGATCCTGGGAGCCGTGGATTGGGCACCGGCGGCTCCAGGACACTTCCTGCTTGGCAGGAACAGGCCAGGTTCCAGTTAGAGCACAGCACAGGTCACAGAGGGTCTCAATGGGAAGGGGGGAGCCTTTCCGAGGAATGGACATTCTTGGAAGAGTGGAGGATCTCAACCAGGTTCTGCGGAGGACTGAGGCTTTTCCAGTGGCAGATGTTTTCCGACGGATCAGGGGTCTTGTCTGGCTCCAGCTCCTGGAGCGGCCCTGGGGGCTCCCAGAGGAGCTGGAGGAGGCGCAGCAGGGCAGGTGGCCTCGCTCCAGCAGCTGCTCCAGGTCCTCCCACGACAGCTGCCACATCTCCGAGTCCCGCGGGAAGGACACCCCGGGCCACAGCGGCGTCACCAGGTCCTGCAGCTCCCGGGCCGCCGTGGCACAGGGGGTGCAGCCGGGGCCGCAGCCGCAGGGGATGTACAGGGGGCTCCCGGGGGCAGCCGGGCCCTGGGGAGGGCTCTCCTCAGCCGGGGGTGAACCCGGAGCCCCCGGGGCCGCTCGCCCGCGCCCTGATCTCCTGGCCCGGCTCCCGAGGCGCTTCCGCACCTTCCAAATGCAGGTGGCCAGCAGGACGGCCGTAGTGGCCACCAGCAGGACAAGCGTGGGGAGCAGGAAATTCATGGCTTCATCCATGTCCCATGGTGGCCGCACTGGGAGCCAGGGGGTGGTGGCACATGTCCTGCAGAGACACCGTGCTGATGTCACAGTGCTGCGGGTGGGACACCTGTGTGACGTCACAGCCCCGCCGCACCCCAAGGCTGAGGGGCTCCATGTGGGCACTGGTGGCCCTCTGGGGCAGAACAGATGGAAAGATTCTCAGCCACGTAGGACACAGTGATGAGGAGGAGGATGATGGTCTCAGCTCCTGGCTGACAATGCCAGGGACATGGATTGTCCCATGGGACACTGCAGAGTGCTGGAGGAAGAAAAGTTCTTCTCACCAACCATCAAACTACCTCTGTATTATCCACAGCATTCCCATCCTGAATCCAAACGCCTGGCTGTGCCACACAATGTGAAGAAAATGAACCCTGTGAATCCTACTAAAAGCAAAGAAGGAAACCACTGAGGCAGAGCAGCAGAAGTGTTTTCCGTGGAGCATGTTGGTGATGGAGAACTGCCTCAAGATGGAATTTAGCAGGGGACAGAGGGACAGACTGGGTACCCAGGACATCTCATTTGGCACAGGGCAAGAATGTCATCCCCATTGGAGCACCTGATATCTACACTAGCAGTGGCACTGCCACATGGTGCCAGCCTATCTATGTGGTCACAGAAGGACCACATCACCATGGGCTGAGGATGGGTGGCTCCTGTCTGAATGGTTTGATGTCTGGGATAAGACAACGAGCACTGGAGATGATGGAAAGTGATGGATGCTGATTTTGAGCTGTTAGGAAGAGTTTGGATCCCCATCCTTCCCAGCTCCTCCTGGAGACGGTGTCTGTGGAATCATAGAATGGTTTGGGTGGGAAGAGTCCAGCTGGGAGCAGGTGCAGGCTGAAGGTCTGGCTGGGCAAGGCCCAGTGGGAGTAGGGAATGGGGCTGGCTGGAGAGCAGTTGGGACCCAACTGGGAGGTGCTGGTGACTCCTGGCCAGGGATGGAGTCACTGAATTGGGATTGGAATCAGCTGCAACCCCTGCAGGCCACCCCCTGTGCATTTCCGGGGGGGAATGCAACTGGTGGCCTGAGGCTGATGCTAATTGGTGTAGTAAGAATCAAAGGGAGGTAATTGCATCTGATTAATGCCATGAGAGTTTGTGTGGGGATCAGGATAGGTTGAAGTGAAGCACAGGAATGTGACCACAGGAAGAAGCCCATGGCTCCTGAGGAAAGGCTTTGTTGATGTGCAGGGAGGAGTTGGCTCCATGGAGTTTGGGTGAGGCTGAGCTTGTGTGTGGTGCTGGGGAAGAGAAGGAGAGGAGCTGAGCTCATGGAGTTAAGCAGGAAGACAAAAGGGATGCGAGCTGTGTTTCCTCCCAGGGACACACACACGCAGAGGGACATGCTGGAATGGCACTTTATTGCTCCATGGTGCTGTCCAGGGTTTCTTGGTGCCTTCGGCAGATGCTGAAGATGGCCTGGATGTGCTCCCAGTTTTTAGGCTTGTAGGTTCCGACCCCTGTGGCAGAGGGATGAGTGAGGCTGGGACATGGAGACCCCCAAGTAAAGCCCCTCGTGCCCTACACCCCTCCAAGTGCCCACCTTCCTGGAGGGGACTCCAGCAGCTGAAGAACTGCCAGTAGGTCCCTTCTGTTTTGTTGCCATCCAGCCCGTGGATGGAGGTCACAAAGGGACCCAGTTTTTCCTTCTTTATCTTGAAGCTGCCAGCAAAGGAAGTGGGCTCAGAGCTGGCTGGGCAGATGGAAGCCCTTCCCCTTCTCTCCCAGCCTCTGTTTCTCACCAAAAGACGTCAGGTTTCTCATTCCTTGCCACCTGCATCACCCGGAGCAGCGTGGAGTTACCTGGGACACACACCGAGGTGGAGTAGTGGAAGTAATTCTTCAGCGTGTTGGTTATGGAGAACTGCACCGTGATGGCATCTGTGGGCGGGGAGGGGAGCAGGGTGGGCACCTGGCACAGCCCACCTGGCACAGGGCAGGAGTGTCATACCCACGGGGCTGGCTCCAGGTTGGAACCCCGATTGTCCCCGGCATTGGTGACAGGGGCAGCGGTTGGCTCGGGGCCATTCCGTTGATGGCAGCACAGCCCCACCTACCTGCGTTCAGGTAGGACTTGCCCACGAGGGGAGGCAGCACCTGGGCTATGGCCATGGGCTGCTGGTAGTCGTGGTTGTAGACCACGCTGAAGGCCTGGGCACGGTCCCACTTCCGAGGGGCGTAAAACTCACTCGAGGTCTCCAGAGCCTGCGGAGGAGGTGGAAGGTGGCACAAGCAGCCTGGGAGAGGAACTGTGACCCCACAGCCCCTCTCCATACCTGCAGGGCGAGCCCCATGCTGTAGATATTCCCAATCATGCCATTCCTCCTCTCTTGCTCATCCAGGAAATCGTTGGTCACCACCTTTAGTGCATCATGGATCAGATCCTGCTTGTCTGTGTGGTTGTAGGCGCACACCAGCGCCAGTACCGCCATGGCTTGGGTGTCTGTGGGATCCCGGTGTCACTGCCAGCAACCCAGAGACACCTCTGGGAGCAGAGGGGACACAGGGGGGCTGGAGGGTTCCCTTACCCACACAGAGGCAACTCCTAGACTTCAGCAGCTTCTCAGCCACAGCCTTGACTGCATCTTGGATGTCATATTCCTTCGCCAGGCAAAGGGCCAGGATGTCCAGGCTCTCGTTGTACCAGGTGATCACTGCAAGGCAAAGAGGGGTGAGCTGACGGGGTGCAGCAAGGGTGACATCCCCCAGTCCTTCCCTCATGTCCCTGTGTACCGTTTCTGCTGATCTCCTCATTCATTTTCTGCTTCAGGATGGGGATCAGGTTGACGGTCTTCCCCATGGCATGAACACGCCAGGGGTCCTGGCAGGAGGAGAGGAGGGCAAGGACATACAGAGCCACCTGTCCCGAGGTCATGTCTGTGGGGACAAGAGGACAGAGTGGTGGGATTGGACGCGGCATCCCAAGAGCTGGCGGTGCCGAGCCTGCAGTACAGGGTCTGCTGGGATCATGTACACCCTCTCCCCTACCCTGTGTCCCTTCCCCACCTGTTTGGGCTCTCTCCACTGCGTCCTTCTTTATCTGCTGGAGCAGCCAGCTGTGAACGTGGCCGTGGGTGGCTCCAGCCAGGTTCATGGCCAGCAGGATGCTGGGGTTCGGTGGTTTGTCAAACTCGACGGATTTCTCCATGCGGTGCAGCAGCTCCTGGATCAGGTGGTGGTGGGCGACTGCAGCCTGGCACCCGTCAGCCACCGAGGGCAGGTCAGCAGGAGCCCTGTGCATCATCCACTCGTCCCCCTGCAGTGTCACCGGTCTGTCTGTGCTGCCACTGCGGGAGGAGTGATACTCACCACAGCCCTGCGTGACCATGGCACCTGCCAGGGGCAGCAGGACCCCGATTCTGTAAGCCATGCCGGGCATCCTCTGTCCTCAGGAGAGCTGATCCACTCCAGGCAGCAGAGTTCCACGGGCACTCATCTCTCCAGCTGTGCCTCCTGCTTTTATCTGCTCCTGGTGCCATCCTGAGGTCACCTGCCTGTCCACACCTGCTGTGGTGTAGCCACATTGTGCCAGTTTATCTGTGTGGTCACGGAAGGACCTGAAGGGTGGCACCGTCACCATGGGCTGAGGATGGGTGGCTCCTGTCTGACTAATTTGATGTCTGGGATAAGATCACGAGCACTGGATATGATGGAAGGTGATGGATGCTGATTTTGAGCTGTTAGGAAGAGTTTGGATCCCCATCCCTCCCAGCTCCTCCTGGAGACGGTGTCTGTGGAATCATAGAATGGTTTGGGTGGGAAGAGTCCAGCTGGGAGCAGGTGCAGGCTGAAGGTCTGGCTGGGCAAGGCCCAGTGGGAGTAGGGAATGGGGCTGGCTGGAGAGCAGTTGGGACCCAACTGGGAGGTGCTGGTGACTCCTGGCCAGGGATGGAGTCACTGAATTGGGATTGGAATCAGCTGCAACCCCTGCAGGCCACCCCCTGTGGATTTCCGGGGGGGAAATGCAACTGGTGGCCTGAGGCTGATGCTAATTGGTGTAGTAAGAATCAAAGGGAGGTAATTGCATCTGATTAATGCCATGAGAGTTTGTGTGGGGATCAGGATAGGTTGAAGTGAAGCACAGGAATGTGACCACAGGAAGAAGCCCATGGCTCCTGAGGAAAGGCTTTGTTGATGTGCAGGGAGGAGTTGGCTCCATGGAGTTTGGGTGAGGCTGAGCTTGTGTGTGGTGCTGGGGAAGAGAAGGAGAGGAGCTGAGCTCATGGAGTTAAGCAGGAAGACAAAAGGGATGCGAGCTGTGTTTCCTCCCAGGGACACACACACACAGAGGGACATGCTGGAATGGCACTTTATTGCTCCATGGTGGTGTTCAAGGTGTCTTGGTGGTTTCAGTAGGTGCTGAAGACAGCCTGGATGTGCTCGTCGTTGTGTGGTTTGTAGGTTCCGACCCCTGTGGCAGAGGGATGAGTGAGGCTGGGACATGGAGATCCCCCCTAGCCCCATCCCTGGGCCTCTCTCTCACCTTCTTCCAGAGCATTCCCAGCACTCAGGAACTGCCAGTAGGTCCTGTCATCCTCGCTGCCAGCCAGCCCGTGGATGGAGGTCACAAAGGGACCCCAGGATGTCTGCTCTGTCTGGAAACTGTGGGAGAGTTGAGGGGGCTCAGGCCTGGGTGGGGAAATGCCAAATCCCATCCTCAAAGCCACCCTGGCTCTCACCTAAAGTCTTGGGGATTCTCCTCTGCTGCCACCTCCATCACCTGGAGCAGAGTGGAGCCACTTGGGACTGTCACTGTGGTGGAGTAGTGGAAGTGTTTTCCCTGGAGCGTGTTGGTGATGGAGTAATGCACCTGGATGGAGGCTGTGCAGGGAGAGAGCGGCAGGGTGGGCACTGGGCACACCCCCAGCAGGCACAGGGTGGGAATATCATCCCTGCAGAGTCTGGGGGACCCCAGGTGGGATCAGCGTACCTCTGGGAACGCCGTGTGTCCCCAGCTTTGGGGACAGGGGCAATTGTCGGCTTGGGGACATATCCTTGGTGGCAGCGCAGTCCAGGACAGCTGCATCCAGGTAGGACCTACCCACCAGGGCTGGCAGCACCTGGGCTATGGCCATGGGCTGCTGGTAGTCGTGGGCATACACCACAGAGAAGGCCTGGGTGCAGTCCCAGTTCCGTGGGGCGTAAAACTTCCTTGTGGCCTCCAGCGCCTGTGGAGAGGGTGGGAATGACACAGCTGGGAATGGGACCAGGTGGCCATGAAGCCACACTCCCCTGGCACCTCCCCTACCTGCAGGGCCAGCCCCATGCTGTAGATATTCCCGATCATGCCATTCCTCCTCTCCTGCTCATCCAGGAAGCTGTTGCTCACTGTCCGAAGGGCCTCCTGGAGCAATTCCCGCACATCCTGGAGCTCCACGTAGTTGTAGACGCAGCTCAGCGCCAGTGCCACCATGGCCCGGGTGTCTGTGGGATCCTGGAGTCACCGCCAAGGCTCGGGATAGTCCCCAGGAGTGGGAATGTGGGAGCAGAGGGGTTCCTTACCCACGGAGATGTGGCTCTCAGGGCTCAGCACCTGCTTGGCCAGGACCACCGATGGCCCTTGAGCGCCGCTTGCCTCCGCCAGGCACAGGGCCAGGGTGTCCAGGCCCACGCTGTACAGGGTAGTTTTGGGAACCCCCTCGGCCTCTGAAAGCAAAGAGTGGTAAGATGACAGGGTGTGGAGACAGTGACACCCCCCAGGCCCCCAGATCCCAACAAACCCAGTTTGGCCATCTCCTCGTCTGTTTTCTGCTGCAGGACGTGGATCAGGTCGAGTGTCTGCTCCAGGGCATGGACACGCTGGGGATCCTGGCAGGAGGAAAGGAGGGCGAGGACGTGCAGAGCCACCTGTCCTGAGGTCATGCCTGTGGGGACAAGAGGGCAGCTGGGCTGGGCTGGGCACCCCAAGAACAGGTGGAAACCTGGTCCCCCAGGAGCTGCTGCCTTTCCTTCTTTCCCTCCCTACCTTTCTGGGCTCTCCTCACCACCTCCTCCTTGATCTCATGGAGCAGCCACTTGTGGGTGGGACCATCGCTGTCCCCCCCAGCCAGGTTCATGGCCAGCAGGACACTGGGATTTGCCGCCTCCTCAAAATTTACAGATCCCTCCAAGCGCTGGAGCAGCTGGGAGACCATGTCCTGCGGGGCCACTGGAAGGAGAGGAGAGGTCACCAGGGTCCTGTGTCCCATCCTGTGTCCCATCTGTGATCTCTCCTGCTTCTCCGTGGGCGGCTGACACTCACCACAGCCCTCGGTGGCTGCGCAGCCCACCAGGGCCAGCAGGACCCCGATGCCCAAAGCCACGCCAAACATCTCCTGGAGTCAGCTGAACCACTCAGGGTGGGAGAGTCTGTGGGAATTCTGCTCTCTGGGCGTCCTCTCTGCTTTTAGCTGTTCCCAGTGTCCTTCTCCAGTCACCTGCCCTCCCACAGCCACCCTTTATCTGTGTGTCCAGCGGGGGAGGAGGGGCGGTGATTTTCCATTTGGGATTGTAACGTTGACTGGCACTGTGCCTGATACAGAGACACAGCACTTGAGGATCTATGTGACAAAAAGCCCTTTATTGTTCTGACTTCACCTTAAATACCTTTCTTAATGTTCCCAGGTAAGCACTTGTGATTGGTTGAAGGTTCAGGCTGCTCAGCTCTCTGACCAATAGTTCCTGCAGCTTACGTTGGGACTTACTGGGTCAAATCCCTGTCTGTTTCCAGTTCCGTCCTATCTCTGTTCCCTGGAGGCCTATCAGGCCAGGCTGCTTCTCCCATACATTGCCAAATTAACTGGCCACTACAAGCCAGCTTGCACTGTGACAGGGATCACTGGGGACTGCTTGGACCACTTCAGTATCCATGAATGGGATGTTGTACGGGACTCATCCAGAATGTCCCAGAAGGAACCCCCTCAATCTTCCACCCAAGGTCCTGGAAGCCTGAGGAGCTCCATTGCTGGCTGGGCATTTTCCAGCTGTATCTCGCTTGGACTTTTCCAGGAAAATCCAGCCCTGATAATCTAGCTTCAGTACCAAGAAAAATTGTGGAGAAGGTCACACTGGACCCTGCTGGGAAAGCAATTCAAGGACAATGCCTGCGTCAGGCACAGGCAGCTCAGAATAACGGAGAGAAATTCCCATCTAACTGGTTTCCTATCCTGCTGTCACAAGGTCCTCCAGCTGAGAGGTGATGAGAAGGCAGAGCCTGCTCATTTTTGGGATTGTAGGAGGAGTTTTGGCCCTGTCCCTCACAGAATCCTTCTGGAGGTGTCCAGCTCGAGGTGAGAGGGGATGGGGGTGTGCTGGCTGCTGTGCTGGATTTAACTGCGATGGGGAATCTTTGCTGGATTTGGATTCAGGATGGTAATGCTGCGGATAACACACGTGGTTTGGTGGTTACTGAGCAGGGCAGTGACACTTTGCAGTGTCCCATGGGACAATCTAGGACAAGGAATCATCCTCAGGGACATTCCCTGTGCCGTGGGGCAGCCACTGGCCTGTGGGACAGAAGCCTTTTAGGGTTGCCCTGCCCTGCCTTGACTTTTCCCCCATTTTTTGGTGGATGTCCATGTGGAAAAGACTTTGTGGAAGCATCGAGCTGCTGGCCAGGGAGGGCACTTGGACTCCTTTTGTGCCTTCTTTGGGCAGAGAGGAAAAAGGGGGTGGAGGAGTCTGGAGGGTGATGGTGTGGCTTGGCACAGCCCAGTGTGGTGGGGGACCAGGTGAGTGAGGGGTGAGGGGACCTGACTGAGGAGGTTATAGCCCCAAAAGGCCAGAAAATTCATGAGGGATTTGTGTGTAAAATACTGAGATCTGCAAATATTCCCATTTTTGTACATTCTGAGAAATTTTAATGCATTTAAATCTGATTCTGAAATAAAACCCTGTATCTGCTGTGTTACAGATATAGACTGTAAGGAATTCTGATTACGGAGCTAGAGAAAACACAAATATATTTCTCTATCTGGGGCCGAGGCCGGGAAACGCCGCAGCCTTAGGAGCGCAGGCGAGGAGCCGGGAGCGGCAACGGCGGAAAGTGCGGGAAGCAGCGGGGCCGGGACATGGGGATACCGGGATACCGGGACACCGGGACACGGGGATACCTGGACACCTGGACACCGGGACACGGGGACACCTGGACACCGGGACACGGGGATACCTGGACACCTGGATACCGGGACACGGGGACACCTGGAAACCGGGACACGGGCATACCGGGACACCGGGACACGGGGATACCGGGACACCGGGACCGGGCGGGGCTGCTCGCGCCCGGTGCTGCCGCCCCGTGGGCAGCGCCCGGCACTGCAGCCCGGGATGGCGCTGAACGGCGAGATCGGCGTGGAGCGGCATCCAGGGAATGCGGAGACATCCCGGGAATGC